TCCCCACCCTGATGGGCTCTGGATTTGAGTGTGAGGTTAGTCAGCCCCTCATAGAATCCCCAAGTGAGCCCCTTCCTCAACCTGGAGCCTTCTAAATGTGTTGGGATCAAGATTGAGAGGGTATCAGGCTGAGGCTGAGAAAGGTGGGCTGGTTTTCCTGTACTTCAGTAGTAATAAAAGTACTCCAGGACGGAGGTGGAGGTTTTCCGGAGTATATAAAATTAGAAACAATAGGGCTACAGAGCCGCTGCTGGGAGCAGGGGAGGGACATCCTCCCATGCAGCTGCCTAACTGGATAGCTTACTGGTTGTGTGTGTTGCAAAGCAACTCAGACACCCACGTTTTAATTACTTCTTGATAGCTGAGGTCGCAATATGGTAGTGACATCTGGTGGCTGAAGGAAAGAGCCAATCATCCAGAGCAGTGTTGCTCAACCTCAGCAACTTGAAGTTATGTGGACTTCAGCTCCCAGAATTTTATGTCCACCTAGTTTGTAACCTCTGGCTCATATTACAATAACCATGAAAAGAAGCAGAGGGATTCCTGAGAATTTGGGTGCTTCTTAAAAGCTCATTGAATAAGACCCTTCAGAAATGAAGAATCAAAGAAAAATAAAATAACTGCCATAACTTCTCTTAACTCAAATACTTGACTTGGAAGCCTTTGAACATTTGGCCAAGCTATCAAGATGACCGCATTCTACCCACCAGCTCTCTCTTTTGGAATTGTCTCTCTTGTGGGTCTTCCTGGTTGACTCAGCTTATATTTTAAGCAAGCTGAATTCCCACTTGCCTCTGTTGTATTGCATTAACACTGAATTCTCCTGGAACATCCTCCGCAGTTAGAAGATACAAGTTTTGGAAGCGACCAGGCAGAGTTGGGCCACTGATCTGCCTAGCCCTATACACAGTAACAACAGGGAAGGATTTAAGTCAAGGCGGACAATACATGAACTGATTCAAGTTGGCTTCCAAAGTGCCTACAGGTAGTCCTCGATTTATGATGGCAGTTGGGACTGAAACTTTCAAGTCAAGTAAAGCACAACTGCATCGCTTAAGCGACAGCAATTCCTGCAGTCCCAGTTGCTGTCGTTAACCGAATCCCAAGGTCTTAGGCGAGGCAACTTCCTGCCAGCTTCCCACAACCAAAGTCAGTGGGGAAGCCGTCAGGAAGTTGCAAGTCCCAGGCCCAGAGGCAGGTAAGTGGCTGCTACTGGGTGGGGGAGGGAGCGAGGGGGTCCATGCTTATGTTAATCATGATAGAGGACAGAGGAGTAGAATTAAACTTAAAGCATGCTAAATCCCATCAAAATAAACTTTGCTGAGTCTGACCACGTGTGGACACCTCTAAATAATCACAAGGACTTAAAAACTACAGCAGATCCATTTATCTTTGAGCTTAAGAAAACTCTATTCTCTCCGGGTTATGCAAAGAGAGGAAAGAGGATTTGCCTCTGACCTGATCAAAAGTAGATCATTAAGCCTGCATTACGGAGGTAGAGATTTACCAAAGCTGCATGTCCTACTCTTCGGTTTGAAAAAAAATGCTCCTAATTCAACAGCGGACTTCTTGGTGAAACACCAACTTCACAGATCGGCCATCGCTTGTAATGCAGCTGTAGTCATTGTTGTAGTAATTGTCAGTGTTGTAAACACTTCGTTTAAATGATCCTCTCAACAAGTCTGTAAAATAGCCCGTTTTTATTCATTCTCGTTTTGCAGAAGAACAGGAGGAAAGGGGACAGAGAAAGACAGAGAAGGCTATTCTGTACGTTCGCCTTCCCCAACCTGGTGCCCCTCTGCTCTGGCTGAGAAGTCCAAGGCTTTCGGTGCCAGCCTGTTTGGAGGCCATCCTGAATCCTTGTCCCAGACATCATTCCACTGTGCGCATGCTTAACCTCAGTACTATACTAATTCCTTAATGCCATTTTCTGCCAGCAGTTAATTTTTCACAGAGGTTGTTGGCTTTCAGGTAAAACGTTACATCCCTCCGTTTTAATTTTTAACCCGCCCCTCCAGTTCAGCGGATTGTTTTGTCCGTAAGTCAGCCAAACTGCCGTTCTTCCAAGTGAATCGAGTTCAGAAGGCAGGCTCAGAATGGTTGAAGGCGACTGTGCTGGAACAGCCTTGTGATCACGCTGTTAGTTATAAATTCACTTTTTATTGACCGTTCTCAGCTGTTGTTCCAGGCAACCTAAAAGCTCTGAAGGGGACACTGAGCATGTTTTGCCTAAAAGTCTTGAAAAGGGAAAGTCCACTGCTCTTTCCCCCCTCAGTTAGTTCCAAACCCCACATCTGTGAACGCCTGCAAGATCTGGATGTCTTGAGAAGGGCCTTTGTGGTGGCCTTGCTTTCACGTGGAGAGTCCCAGATTCAGTTCTTGGTGTTAAGCATTATAAAAGTTGCAGATAACAATTGGTTACAGTGGAATTCTGCTTGCTAGTCTGGATCTCTCTCTTTTAAAAGAAATATCTGAACCTCTCCCTTTTTTTAAAATCCTGCCCTTCGTTCATGGAACACACAGCCCCATCGTGGCTTTTCCTGCATCTTCATCCATTACCCTCTCCAGAGTCCTGCTCAGTGGGAAATAGGCTGGGTCTCCCATGTCCGATTCTGAGGCACTAACCTCTAACTGCTATTCAGAATCTGGATTTATAAAATGACGGTTGAGAGACGTTTCAGCCAAAAGGCAACAGATAGAGCAAGGTGGTTACACCAGCCTTGTTCCTTTGATAGGGGAACGTCATTATGTGAACCACTAATAAATAATCGAGGACAAACATTTGGAAATCAATGTTGTTTCAAAAAGTCATGGGGAGAGGAAAGGGTTAAATGGTGGACAAGGGGAACAAGAAGCGACCATTGCTTGAGGCTCCAAGCTTGAACACTCAATGACAATGGTGTGCCTTGACTTGGAGACCAGGAACCAGTGAGAGTCCATTTGTAGAGAGATTACTGTTCTATGAAAAACATCCCCTATGTGAGAAACTTTATTTATTTATATGATTTATATGGCTGCCCATCTCACAATGGGAACTGTGGACTTCAAGATATGGAGGAGGCCTCGGATGGGGGACCTCCCATTGCCCCTAGATGTAAGTATGCTGAGACCTTTTGGATCCTCTGTGCAAAGCAAGGGTCCTGCAGGATCAGGCATGCAAGTCATTGATTGAAAAAGTCAAAATCCACATCCGAGCGTAAGTTGGGTGGAAGTTACGTTTTCTGCATCAGAGGCTGCTCCGAAAAGATGGAAGAGAGGAAGCCATGCACAGAAAGGAGGAGTTTGCAGATGAAGAAGATGGAAGCACCTGTTACATAGCCACATCCCTGCGGATTCCCCCAATTACTGCTTGATGAGTTACAAAAGTCCAGCATCTCAGAAGATTCTGCATTTTTGCCAACATGTGTACCTCTTAATCCTTTGTCTTGAGGATTTCACCTCTCTAACACTCCCCTGTCCACTTGGCTGAACGTGCTGTTTTTGATAGATGGGCCTTGTCCAGTTTCAGATGAAATGAATTCTCTGAATTGTTTTTTAAAAATGCAAATGGAAAATGGAATGTGCCTTAAAGCGTTACATTTAATGACCTAGGTCTTCATTCTGAAATCTCATATTGAAAACATGCATTGAATCCTGACCAGATTTGGGATGGGCTCTCAAGAATTTGACTAAGTCTCAAGAATGGCGGAGACCTCTTTTGAGTAACAACATGATTTCCAACTTTAGACTGTTGCAGAGACTTTGATACTTTGAGGTAGGCAGCCAAGTTACTGGGGAACAATTTGGAAAGAGGACTGGAATGCAGATGTTGGCAATTTCACAATCATCAAGCAGATTGCTGACCAGATAAAAATACTTTTTCAGCCTTGATCCATCAGAGCTTCTCTCCATTCCTCATGTCCAAAACCTCTCTCCACATGGCTCCTTTGGTGTTATTCCTCCTCAACCCAACCATAATCTTCTCCTTGATTTTACTACTACTATTAGCAAGGCTGTTTCTGAGCAACCTTAAGGGGTCATCTCAACGAATGCCTCCAGGACCCACACCACTCCCTATCATCGGCAATTTGCATTTGATAAATATTAAAAGGCAAGATGTATCGTTTATGAAGGTAAGGGGCAAAGGGGTGGTTGTAAAACCTGTCATCAGCGGGAATGACTTGGAATGTAAGCTAAGACTTTGCAGTGATAAAGTTGAGAAGTAAAGTTATGGAGATGTAAAGGTATATATGGACATGTTGAACTTTGGTTTAAATCATATTTAAAGGCCAAATTTCTGCTCCTATCCATATTGGCCTGGAAATAAATTAAATCTGTGTGCATGGATAGAGTTATGCTACAATTATTTTATAGACACAACCTGTTTGCTCATGTAATCGGTTCTAAGCACTGAAGAAAATATCGCTGCCAAAATCAGTATTGTCTAGCAGAGTTGTCTGTAACCTGGTTGCTCTTCCATCCCAAACTTTATTATAGGGATCAAATAATATTCTCCATTTCTTCTG